TTCTGCACCTAAACTCATATTCCTCCCTTTCGTGCTCATCCTAACGGATCCCATTTCTCCTACTCCCACTCCACCTACTCCCACTCCCCTTACTTCTCTTACTTGTATAACTTTATTTTCCCTTTTTCCACCTGCTTTGCCCCATTTTATCTGCGAATAGCCAGGCTATTCCTGCACAGAAAAAAACTTCATCAACACCGACATGCTTCCATCTGAAGCTTCAAAGCAAGAAAAGAAGGGATAAATAAATACTATTCAATTATTTGTACACGACACTTGAGGCTAAAGAAGTACCTCATCGAATGCCTGATACTCCCACCTGTCATGTGACATTCTATGCGACTTCCTTGATCTGATTCAATCGCCTGCGTGGTAGATATATAAATGTTTACCTCTTTATGTATCTGCATGTGTGTGTGTGTGTGTTTGTGTGTGTGTGTTTATAAGACAAACGAATGAGCAAAAGACTCCTCGTATTGGGCGCCAGGCGGCCGGATCTCCTTGAGCAAGTCAGGAGATGACGCAATTCTTCTGACGAATGTCGGGGGAGCGCAGCTCCCTGAGGACGCGTTCAGCCAGGCGGATCCTTCCGATGGCCGACAGTGCCTGATGGAGATCTTCCGGCAAGGTCTCGACCACCTCCTGTCCATGGAACCAAATGCAGAGCATGCGAAATCCATGCTCCATGTAGGCCTTCTTGCCTGAAGGGGATGGGCAAACGAGGAGGAAAATCGAACAGATGTTGAAGCAATTTCAGCCCAACAGATCAGCCGGGGACTGGCTCAACGCCCCGTCCGGAGGCCGAAGCAACCGATCGCACGAGAAAGGCTTGGAAGCCCGAATTGCTCCTGGTGAAATGTGCTCATCGAATTTGTTATTTGAGATCATCTTGTAATATCGCAAACTACTTACTTTATATGCTTAAGTAGTATCGTGTATGGCAATAGTTAAAGTTAAGTTGTTTGATCATGAAGTCAACACATTTCATCGTGATAGAATTGAAAGCTACTCATTATATATGCATAAGTGCTATCCTCCATGACAAATAAATTTACAGCCCCATTTGGCCAATTCACATCCAGTTGGGAATATCCCACTATCAGCCCTTAAATCACCTGCACCTCGTGGGCTAGCAGATGGGTCACTCATCAGCCAGAAAGCTGTCGGTATTTCCAGCTTTTGGCGAATAAAACTGCAACTAATCAGGTATGCATGTTTCACGCTTGATCTGCAGCCACTTAGCTTCACTTTTGAGCAAGCATTTCGGCAAAGCCAACCGAAACAAAATATGCCATTTGGCCTTTTTGAATTGTTGCTAACATTATGGTATTGCTCTCCGATTCTGCAATTTAATGAAGAAGTATCATTCGAACACAGAAATAAAATACTTTATTACGCCTCCATCAAGAAATTAGAGTAAAGTTGCGAGACTGAGAGGCGTAAGCAATCTAAGTTCATAGATCTCAATTCAAGATTAAGGAAGGATGATTTTCAAAAAAAACTCCAGACCATGACACACCAGAAGTCACAGAGAGTTCGGGATCTGATAAATAAGAGGTATGACCAGAAATCGCTTAGCTATGGGATAATAAGACGGAGCAAGACCAAGCCAACTCGGACAAATTTTGATGGTTCTTTAGGAATAGATACAGGATAGACGAGGCTGTGATTGAAGCCAGTTGGCTGACAGTAGGTTTTACAAGAGACATGGTCCATGTGGCCAAGGCGTGACCATTAGACTTACTCTGAGGCTTGAGCCCCGAATTA